GTGTGTAGATCTACGAGCTTGTGACACACGTTATATATAAGGGCCCTGCGTCGGGGGAAGGCCGGAAGCTGCTTCGTCGTCTACATGGGCGGCTTGGCGCGTTTGTTTGAACTTTGAAAATAGCCCTAGCTAGGAACTTTACAGCGAATGTACGTACTAGTAGTACATAACAGTGATGTTTTGTGTGACACGAGTATGTACGTACTCGTATTATGCAGAGAGCTTTTGGCCCGGGCCAGAGCACCATGTGAAACGTGTACTCCCGCGTTCCGGGACTTGAGCTCCAAGTCGTTTTAGTCAAGTAGTCAAGAGAGAAACCTCTTAAATTGGACCCCAAAATGTGTTTATTTTGGTATGGCTTGCTTTGCCGTACGTAAGCAAATAAAGGCCCTGTCCTTGCGTCGTGTCCGGTTTCAGTTTGCATGGATGGGACGCACAAATAATCTGGTCAATGCATTGCGTCGCATGCCCTTTATTCGACAACATGCTTTGCATGGTCAAAATATTCAAAATCTCGGAGTACGACAGATAGTCTACGTGCACTCTCATTCCACTGTCGTTCGTTGGTCAGAATTTCGTGTTCAATTTTTGTTTAGAGGTCGAGTCAGAGTCATGGCAATCTTCCAAGAAAATGCCGCGTGCATTTTTCCACTGAAAACTTACGATCCCTTGTTATGCGTAGTGCTTAGTATATACAGTATATTCGTCGATCGTATATGTATTACTCCACAGCCCTAACTTACGCGGTAAGACATTTCTTTTTAATTCCTCTCACTTTCAAGTGGTCAGCAAAGCAGCTAAGCTGTCCGTTTCAGGCGCGCTTGGAAGTTGGACTTAGGGGATCTACGAAATTCCAGCACGAGATTTGACCTACCGCTGATCGCTAGTCGCTACGTACTCGATAATCCAAACTGTTGTCTGTTGGTCGCTCGCGCTACATGCCCGACGTCAAGGGTCCTATACGCTTCAGCATTAGGAATGTCACACGGTTAAGATTAGTTCAGTCTACGACGGCTAGTTGACAGGGTAGGGGCGGCATTTACTAAACCACAATTCTAGGTTCGACTTAGTTATATCCACATGAATCTCGATGTAAGATCAATAACATAGAACTTAGATGTGCGATACTTATGACACATCTAGATGTGCTTTAGCAAAATTATTTTTAATAAACTAGCAATTATGCCCATGTGTTGCAACGGAAGAAAAACTATCATAAGTCTAGATAGAATGCCGGGATGAGATAAGGACTTTTAAAATGTCATTTAACAAACTATGTTTGAGTGAGGTCATGATAAGATAAAGGACTTTTAGAAAGTTAATTTTAAAACTAAAAATGTTATGGTCTCATCACGATTTAATTCCTAAGTTGTCACAACAAAATATTTTTTGGCTGAGCAAACTGCACCTAATGGACCCTGCCCGAATATGTTTTGAATACTCAATTATTTTTGAAAAATCATGAAATTTTTTCTTTTCTTGAACATTTATTTGAAATCATGAAATGTTTTATAATATGCAAACAATTTCTAAAATCATGAACATTTTATGATTTTCTGAATATTTTTTGAATTCAGGACAGTTTATGACTTCTTAAAAAAACACGCAACTTTTTGAAATTTGAGACTTTTGAAAATCCCAAATTAATTTAAGAAGGAAAAACAAAAACAAAAATAAAAAGATAAAAAAGCAAAAAGACGAAATAGAAAACAGGGGCGCCACGCCCCGCACATGGGACGACCCATTATCTCGTGCGCTTGCTATAACAGAGGGAAAAAAGGGGTAGAACCAGGGATCAAAGCCTGGTCTCCTGAGTTGTGGACTGACGCCTTAGCCGTTGGGCCTCCTGTGTAATTGTGTTACATGTGAGTATCAACATATACGAATATAACCGCGAACCAATCTGTGGTTGAGATGGTTAGGTGGACAGTGATATCCCCAACCCACCAGGGTTCAAATCCTGATGCTCGCATTATTCCTGGATTTATTTCAGGATTTCCGACAATGCGCTTTCAGTGGGAGGAGACGTTCCCGTCGACGACGAGGCGCAGGTGACTTCGTAAATCTCAAGATGATATGCCAGCTCAGTCTCTCGGAGGTGCTCATAAGGGTAGGGTGTGCGTGTGTGCGTTCATAGGGATGAGTGTATGCGCGTGTATATGAGCGCTTGTGTCTGTACTGATGCTCAAAAAAACATATACGAATATAACCCGGCGGTGATTTTGAAAAAGAAAAGAATCATTTTTTTCCACTTATGGATGGCATAGTGGGTAATTTATGACAATTTCGAAGGCAATTTTCATGACGGACGACCAGAAACGATAGCCCCTCTGTTATTATAGGTAAAGATAAAGATATAAAAAATTGTACCCTGTATCAATTATTGCACACGGGTCTTCTATTTTTGCTAGGTTTCATCTTCTAAATGTGATATAAAAGAGAGCAAAAAAGGCTGACCTAGCCAAAGGATAATAAGATTATGCGACACTCTCACACATCACTAATCATATTACTAGGCCGCTATACATGTTGGTTGGGTCACCCACACAATAGAATAGTGCAGACATGGGCTCTTGCAACCCCCAAGGTGAGAGTGTGTGGGGGCGCCGCCTCGATCTCCTCACCCGCCTCCCCTGCAGCTACTAATACCAGATCAGAATCCTATCTGCGTCCTTTCGCTCTCTCGTCGCTCCCGACCCATGTCCTAGTCGATAGGGCGACAACTGTCAGTTCGTTCCTGCCCGGTGCCGGCTCCGCGTCATCCCGCTTGGCTGAGCTCTGGTGCCCACCTGCTTGGAGGTTCAAGAGGGAGAATGGGGGCATGATGTCTTTTCATGGGCCCTCTTGAAGTTGTCGACAATGCCCGATCGTGCGCCCCCTCCCTACCGCCATCGTGGCCCGGGCGCCCTTGCCTGCCCAGTGGCCATCCTTCCAACGGTGACAACATGTACGCAGTGTCACTGCTCTTGTGTCGCATGTCATCATCGATCAGGGCGGCAAGTCCTCGCAAAGGCCCCCCACACACACTCGAGCTGGGTGACTAGCATGGACGCTTCGATCAAGAAGCGACGACTACGGCTCCCCTGTCTCGTGTGTATGGATCTCGCTGTCATCAGGCACTGCTTATCGCCTTCGGCTGCCTTCTGTCATCGTGCCTTCATCTCCAGGTTTACTCCTCCATCATGGTTGAAGGATCATTGCTTCTTGTGCCTTTCTAGAGGTCATCACGCCTGCGAATGCAGGAACCCAATCTGGTGCACGAGTTGCCTCCACTTTGTCCATAAACCTCATTTCTGTCGTGCAAAGCCCTGTGATGATTGGTCAACGACTCTGCAGCATGCTGCTCCACCGCATGCACCCGCTGATGATGCAATATGTGTTGTAGATTATGATTGAGCTACAGGAGATGTGTGAGAAGTTTTATTCGCCTCTATCGTTGGTTATGGGGGCGACAATTAGTGGCTACTCTCGGGCTAGCATCATAAAGGATATGTCGTCGTTGCCTCATGTGTCGGCTGCCTCTAGGAGCGATGATATCCCTGAGGTTGTGGCTCCGGTCCATGCCATTGGCCAGGTTGGTCCAATGGGTGACGAGGTTGTGACACCCAACACTTTGGTACCTGTTGCTGACACTATCTTTGCTAAAAAGCTTTGAGAATTGATCGCCAAATTGGAGGTTACTAACCCTGGATCTAGCCATGCGACTTGTTGCCTCCTATAGGAGAAGGCAATCAGGAACAAGAGCAAGAGGGTGTGAGATAACCATCGTTCCAGAATTTTGAAGAAGAAATCATTTGGGAGCAAAAGCAAGAAGAGTGGCGCCATAGGGAAGGCATCTGCGGCTGCTTGATGGTTGGTTCTCTTCTTTTCGTGTTGTCGTGTCTGATGCTTCTGTCAATGTGTTTTTATGGGGTTCCTTTGTGGTGTTGTGACCCATGGGCATTTGTGCTTATAGCGGGTTGAGATGTCTGTTTGTCTGCTGAGGAGGGCATGGAGATTCATGCTTTAGGAGTACAATGCATGTGGTTATGTTGTAACGATTTCCAGTTTTTTGTCAGTTAACCGGCAATTCTCTTCTTAATAATTTGTGAGGCAATCTTTGGTGTTCACTTAAAAAACACACATCCCGGTATGTGTTGCCGTTTTCATTAGCTGCATCAAGAGTCAATGGATCCATGCCTTTAAACGTTGGAGGTAGCACTACAAACGAATTCAACGGGTAGTTTTAAGTTGACCCATAATTTTTTAGAACTTATGTCATGTTAAAAACACAACCATTTATAAATTTCATACCGCCTAAACTAAAGTGCATGCGCCTACATAGATTTCAGCCTTTAACTTACCATGAATCCCCACCAGCCAGTTTCTGAACATATTAAGTGTTTTCTTTAAGGACTTGCGTGTAATATCTTATTTTTGTAAGACCATTATTGTAAAAGCTTGTTTTATCTAATATACATAATCTTTGGCTTTTCCAAGAAAAAAGTGTACTCTATATGGGAAGTACGCCATAGGAAGGTGGCAAACAGGCAAGGGAGACACGAGTGCTGCATTATTTTCCCGCTGTCACAAAAACAACATTTTTTTTCTTGACATTTTTACCATCTAGGTTTTGTCAAGTTGCCTTTCGCTAAGATCACTCATTTGTCAAGTAGCTCGTAATTCATTTGGAGAAATTATTGTCTCTTTGTGGGATTTTATTGATTGGTGTACCAGTGTGAATGAAGTTGAGCTCCGCGCCTGCCTCGCAGGACTTTATATAGGTATCACTCTTCATCAATATATTATTTTAGAGACTGGTTGTGCTTTCGTACATTCGTTT